ACTTCTCTCCCAATATTTATAACTTTATCAAATAAAATACATTAACCAATAATTGTAAGATGGAGATGACTACTCAAGAGTTAATTTTTCATTTACCTTTGATGTAAGCATAGAGGCCAGATAACAATTTTTTTTTTATTTTCATGTTACTCCAACGAGAAAAAAATACAACAAAAAGATGACCAGAGATGAGAAAAGAGTAGGGAAGAATATTTACTATCCCTATCCTGAAGGGTTTCCATAGCAGCTGAAACAATTATTAAAAAAAAATACACCAAAAGGAAGGCAAAGAAATAGCACGAAAGCTATCCATCTGAAAACAATTCATAGATTTGAACAGTTATAGTTTACTTGTTCATTAGTTTAATCATTAAACATCACTCTTTGAATACATCACACAGGTCTTTGCAATGACATTCATAATAGCACAGAAATTTATCAGAGCAAGGAGATTTTTAGAAAAGAGTATAACAAGCAACACATTGACTGCTGTAGCTTCATGTCACAGAAAATGTAAGGTAATCTGTATTTGCTTCGCAGGATGAGGATTTCCCAATAGAGTAAGCTTACCATTGCTCCTTTTTATCCCACTTACATTACACAAACCCAGGAACACCTTACCTGTGTTCATTCCCCTCCTGCCTTCCCCCACCTTAGCACAGAATACTGTTTTCAGTGGCATTAAGAAAAGGGACATTAATTCCTGCTGTTCTGGATACTCCCACTAAATAGCCATCTTTCATATCCTCCCTTTAAGCTTTCATAAGATGCACTGAATTAAAAATCAGAGACTCCAGTTTTAGAAATGCCAACAACCATGTCTGAAAGTCAACAAAGATTTGACTTTTGGGCCTCATCTGAAAGCCATCTATAGTCTGTTCGATTTACGTATTAAGTAGCAAGCATCATCATCGCTTCGTAAATGTCAATGATCTTTCCCTGCATTCTTTATGTAAGAAGACAGCATCGCCCATAACCAGTTTGTCTTTCATTAAAGTTATGAATCCTCCAGAAAACAGAGGCAGCATCACTTTGACAGCAGTGAGCAAGCGGCCTTCCATCTACCTACAGCTGAGTTACAAACCCTAAACAAGTAACAGCCTCCTATGTAAGTGAAGATGCAACATAAAAGATACTGAATAGGTTCTCAGTGGTAAAAAGACATACATGGATATCTGTGTGAGAGGGAGGAAAGGATGGCTTGCAATGCAAGTATTCTTCTCCTTGCATCAATTTTTATAACCAGATTTTAAATGTGCAGACATGTGACATCACGTCAAGAGGAAGTAATGGCACCATTTATGCTCCCCTTCCCATGGGAAATCACCCCACAGCAACAGAACCGGTCAACTGCCATTCACTCCTACACAACAGATCCAACCTTAATAGCATCTCACATTCAATAACAGGGCCCTGAGGAGTTCATGGGTTTAAAAAGCCATCCAGTGCATTATCCCTTTTAGAAAGGATACTTTCAAAGTACACAATTCTTGCCTTACGAGTGAACAAAAAAAGCATCAGTCATTAAGCAATCTTTGAAATTTCATGCAAGAAGCTGAGTATAGAAACCACTGTCCACGGGTATCTACAGTGCTCAGAATAATTTTATGCTGACATTTGTAAAGGGACAGCTGGATGGAAAACAAGTTTAGGGAAACCAGAGTACACCTACAAGTGAAAGCTCTGCAGGACAGCAGGCTAGCAGATGGGGTAGTCTGGGGGCAGAGGACGTACAGTAAAACGAATGAAGTACATATCCCCAGAAGGAAGTGGGCATGGAAAGGCAAATAGAGAAGAAAGGTGACAGTGGTCACGATATTGCTATGCAGGCTAAGGAAGAACAAGCTAAGGAAGGATTCCTTAGAAGGGAAGATAGATTAGAAGGGTAGATCTTTATTTCTGTTATCAGCATGAGCAGACAAGAGCATACTAGATGTGCAGTTTCCAATACAGACACTATCTTACAAATGAAAATGTTAGCCCCAAACACAGCTACCAACTTACTGATGTAGGATTTATTTTTCCAACACCACCATCAGCCATATAAGAAAACACTGTGGCAGAGCATGCTACATTTAACCTGGGCAAAAGTTCCAAGGATTTAGCTTTACTTGAATGCTTAATAAAACAAAACAGGACAACAAAAACGCCTAAAACGTGGGTTTTCTTCCTACACATTTTTCCATCAGTCTCATCTTTTCTGTCACTCTTCCAAACAAACAGACCCTGTAGTCTTTGAAATCTAATAACCTTTTCAATGACTACTAAGTGAAGTGCTAGATAGCAGCCTAAAAAGTTGCAGTTTCAAGAGTATCATGTCCTAGTATCATCAAGTTCCTTTTTCCACTGGTAAGACAACCTGGATGTAATGTCAGTGGGTAGTAAAAAGAGCACATTTTACAGATGCCAGTATCTCCTGAAAAGTGCTTGCACACACAATCAGCAGCACAGTAAAGTCCTCTGCAATTATCTCCATACTTTACTTCATGGGTAAACTGCTCACTGCTGATGAAGCTCACATTCCCTCCCTTTCTGTAAGATTTGAGCTGAAATGGAGAGAAACCATCATACACTATTTATTTTTTAATGGAAAAGATGCTACTTGATTCATTCAGCTTAACTGGTCCTGTAACACCACTTCAGAGCATTTGAAGCACGTTCTGTTCCAGGCCATAAAATCTAGAGCTGCAAAGCTCAGAGAAACTTTACTGATGAACTGCTATAAATGGTGCAACGCCTCTTTCAGTTTTTCTGACTCTCAGTGTGGGTGTTACTTTCTGTGAAAGAAAGGGAAAAAGCATGAAGAACAGATATGTAATTCAACAGAACAGTATTTAATCCTGAAAATATTAACAGCTATTACGTGCTACAGAGCCCTCCACCAGTCTAGATATTTCAGTGGAAAAAAAAATACCAACTTCTTACCCCATCTTCAGACAAATGAACTACAGCCACCACATGTGCAGCTAACACTCTGCAAACACTAGCAGCTTAGGCTTCATTTGGAGGTCAAATTCAAGCAAGACCAAGCAGATGCTCTCATCTACTTTCAACCCTCAAGGACTACAAAGACTGCCATCACCTCATTTTCTGGTGCTTCAGAACCACAGATAATCTTAAACAGGCTCTACAGCAAAAGCTGAACTCTTGATAAATAAGAAGGAGCATAACCTCAAGCAAAATATTTACTGAACTTACCTACAAAGACTTCTATAAGCAAATCCTTAGCATGCTGATAGCATCCATCATGTCATTTTAAGAAAATTATTTGTGCCAGGATGTTAGAAGGACTGCAGCAAGTTACAAAGGAGATGTGATGAGAGGAAACATACTAGCATCTCCAGTACCTGTAAATGCACAGTCTAGTCTGTAAGGTAAGAGAGGCCAGATAATTCTACAGCAAGCATCTCTAGATGGCTCTATTCACATACTTCTACATTCACTTGTAAGAGTCTTACTCCATCTTTTCAGTTTCTTTTAAACAGAAATCACAGGGTTGCCAAATCCCGTTTTAGTGAAATGATGCCAATATACACAATTATTAATATGAAAGGCACCTAACAAGATTCAAAAAGTGCTATAACAAAAACAGCTATCTCCTTTACACTACTGGAGAATAAATTAACTTGGAATTCATTAGACTGTGATGCTCATTATTAGTAAGTTTCTCCAGCTGTTTTTGCAGACCAGCCTTAATGGCTGGTGATTATTTGGGTTGGAATGGAAAGAAGATTACGCGTTTTTTAATTATGATAAACTTCCATCCTATTTCACGGGAAGCGTGGTTTTCAAGAGGGAGTGGAAGAGTCAGAAAGAAAGGACGCGTATCAAGTATTTAGCAGCTGTGGCGAATGAATGTCTGGCAGAACGCAAACACTTGCATATTAGTAATATACACCGTGCAACTTCCTGTGAGAGAGACAAGAGGATACACAACGGGTTCCGGGGATGCCAACACACCTACAAATGCGGCCCAAGTTCACCAAGCAGGCCGGCACCGGCCCTTCCTCATTCCTCCAGCAGGGCAGCAGGAGGGGGAAAAGTTCAGCACCGGCACCATTCGCGCACCCGCCCGGACCGCGGACCCAGCCCCCCGCCGCCTGAGGCGCTGACGGCCCGGCCGCCCCAGAGCAGCAGGGGTTACCCGGGACCGCGGCGCTGCACTCGTGCGGCCCTCCTCTCACGGGGAGGACACCTGCCCGGGACAGGGGCAGCACCCCGGGCACCCCGCAGGCCGATGGAAGTGCGGCTCTTCGCCGCAGCCCCCCCGGCCAGCCCCTCTCTCTTCCCACCGGCAGAGGGGCTGGAGAGAAAGAAGAGACGAAGAGGCGGCGCCCCGGCCGCCCCCTGCCGCGGTGGGCTCAGCGCGGTCTCGCCTCACAGCTGGCCTCGCCCCGCTGCGCTCTCCCCGCCGGCGCCACAAGTGCTGCGGGGCTGGGGCCGCCACAGCCGGCTGCGGAAGCTAAAGGCACCGCTCCTTCTCAGTACCCGTCCCCGGCACCCCCCAAGGCCGGCGGTGCCGCCGAGCGGGATATGCGGGCAATCCCCTCTTCCCCAGTCAGGGACGCACACAGGTAGCGCCCGCACCACAGGGGCGATCCCTCCCGGAGCGGCACCGCTGAAGGCATCGCCGCAGGGGGCTGTTTACTGGCTGCGGAGGGGGAGGAGAGCAGGTGCCCACCTCCACGCTCGCTCTGGGGAAAAGGAAGAGGGAGGCAGGCAGCTTTAGCCGGCAGGAAGGGGGGGGCGAGCAGAGCGGCGGTCATGGCGGGGAGACTAGGCGCGCACCTGGGAGCAGGTGCAGACAGGCGGGCCAGGACGCCCGCGGAGGAGAAGAAGAAACTAGCGAGGCTTCCCCGGAGAACGGCGCGTGTTGTGCAGCCGGCGGGGGGCACTCGCAGGTGCCTGTCACCAGGAAGGGGGGGGACGATGCGGAGGAGGGGAGAGGGGAGATGCAAGCGCCGTTCCGCAAGCTGGGGAGGAGAGCGCACGTTACTCACCGGCAGCTCCACGCTGACTTCGGTCCCGTCCAGGAGAAGGACGCGGCACTGCAGCACCAGCTTATTGCCGCCGGCCGCTGGGATGTGGACGGGGGCTCCGGCGCTGTGCGCGACCCCTCCGGGGTGCGGCGAGGAGGGGAAGCCTCCCGAGCCGACGGCGGCTGCTCCCCGCAGCCCCCCGTCCCGCTCGTCCCCCTCGCCGCCGAGCCCTCCGCGCCCGGCTCCTCGCCCGTAGCGCTGCATCGACCGCCGGCCAAAGGTCCTGCGCAGGAACCGCAGCATCCTGGGGGCGCCCTGCCCGGCCGCTCACACCCCCGAGCCCGCAGCTCAGCGCCCGGCCCGCGGCGCCTCCCAGGGCAACGCAGCAGCGCCGCCCGCCGGGAGCCAGCCCGCGCCGCCCGCCGGCCGCCCCGCCCTCTGCAGCGCCGCCCGCCACCGGCACGGCAGGGCGGGACGCGCTGCGGCCCCTCCTGCCGCCGCTGAGGTGGGGAACCCGAGCGGCGGGCAGGGGGAGCTACTGAGGCGGCAGCCGGGAGCCCACCTGTAGTGGTAGTGGTGGCGGTGGGGCGGCCGGGGCGCTCTCTCTTGACCCGCCAGGTCCCGGCGCCTCTGACCCGCTCGCAGCCGGCCGCAGCACCGCAGCGCAGAGAGAGCAGTGCCGAGGCGCGCCGCTCCTCCAGCAACTGCCCCGGCGGTGCGGTAGTCGGAACGATCACGCTGGCTGTTGGGGCGATGGCTGCCCCTCGCCGCCGCCCCCGGGCTGATCAGGCGTGCAGCTGGGACTGCCGCCTCCTGGTGCCGGCTCCGCTCCGGGGGGCGGCCCACCGGGACCTGCCGCCCAACCGCGCACTCGGGGGCCGGGGGCGGCCCGTCCTTTGCGTCGCGCTTTCTGCTTTGCGCCCGCCCTGCCTTCCCTCCCTCCGTCTGCCGCTTCCGCCCCTTCGGACGGGCGAGAGAGGGGACGGGGGAGGTTAATAGCGAAATAACGACAAGCGGGGATGGAGAAGTAACAATCCCGGGGGAGGCCGAAGCTGCGCGTTCCGCAGGGAGAGGGAGGAGGACACCGCACCGCTTCTCCCACCATCGCCGATGGTGCTGCTGCCTGTAGCCCTTGAGCGCAAACGCGTCTGCCTGATGTGTGAAAAAGCTCCCGCATTTGCCTTTGCAGTCAACGTGGTCTGGTGATTTGAGGAAACATACGAGATTGTGATCCCGTGGTAAAGCGGGCCAGCCAGACCTTCTTGGGGTTTCGCTCCCTTTAGTTTCTGCAGCTGTGAGGAAGCAGTAAGTGTTTATTTAAGCGTCATAGCAACTCCATAGGTACAAACACTCTCACGCAGTCGCTCTTCCAGTAAGTTAAATATTTAGTTATTCTGGCTCGGGCAGGAGCACTTTTGTTTAGTTGCCATATATAAAATACTGGACGTGAATGGACACAATCAGTAGGACTAATTATGGCACCCTATGGTCAGATATGATCTAAGGGGCTTTGAGCTAAAATTCCTGCTTCTAAAGTTTGGTGGGTTCCTTTTTATTCTGCTGTGGGTTTACTAACCTTGCTTCCAGCCTGGTTTACACAAGCATTTCCTATTAGGTATTCAGAAAGCCTGCCAAAATGTCTCAGCTTGACATTTTTTTTTTTTTACTGAGACTTGGTAGTGTTAGGTAACTACCTGCTGCTTCTGCATCCTTTTCCATGTTTCTCCAATGCACTAGATCAGGTCTTGAGTGTCTCATCAGCTGAGACTGTCACTAAACTGCATGGTCTTTGGCAAAGATGCATACCCAGCCCTTTTGCACTGTGCAGCTGCATAAAAGAGCTTTTCTAGAAACAGAGTGGAAAGGTGCTGATCTTTGCCTGCTAGTGTTCACATCAAGAGCCCACTTATTTTGGGCTTTTTCCTATTTTTTTTTTTTCTTTGCATTAGGAGCAGAATTAGGATTTCTTTCAGATCCTGTGCAGCATACCTTGGGATTCTGTCACTGCCTTGAATACTGGGAAGATTTCAAGGCCAGGCTGGATGGGGCTTGGAGCAACCTGGTCTAGCGGAAGGTGTCCCTGCCCATGCTAGGGGGTTGGAACTGGATGATCTCTAAGATCCCTTCCAGCCCAAACCGTTCTATGATTCTCTGAAGACATCACAGTCCCATGAAGCTCATTTGCATACCATAAGCAGCACAAATGATTTTAAGGGTTAGAAATTCAGCAGCAATACTGTTTTCTCTTGACAAAGCAACAGCAATCCTTGTGCAAAGGAGAGTGGGGTTGGAAGGGAGGTGGGCATCAGTCAGGTCTGGCCTGGCAGAAAACTGAGCAAGTCTTTGCAATGCTAAAAAGCTTATTTACTCAGCTGTAAAGCTGTAAAGAGACTTCAGCTGTTTGAATCTTTCAGCTTTTGTCATGAAAATAAAAGTCTGGTATTTCTAAATACATAAACCTAGGCTTGCTTGACTTGCATTAGCAGCACACAGAGTACAGGCCATAGTGGTCATACCCCAGAGGCAGTGCTGTGTTTACAGAACTGCCATAGAGATGCTGAGGTCCCATTGAATCTCGTAGTAAGAATATGAGATAATGCTCATGGTAAAGGATCTTCCCGAAGGAGCTGGTGGTGGGAGGACATAAAGCTTGCTCTTCAGTACCCAGCCTCTTCTGGAGTAAAACAATTCCACCAGTATTTTGTCTCATGTTAACAGCAGAGCTATCTTTAGCCCTGAAACAAGAGGCTTGAGCAACTGTGGGTACTGGGGATGTCATGATACATTTATTGCAAGATGAGAGGTATTTAAACTAGTATTTACATTTGGATTGTACTTATACATTCCACCCATCTACATCCTCTCTCCATTTTCAGGTGGGCAAACCCTAAAGTGGTTTGGTTTGCTGGTGCCTCTGCCCTGCAGTCCCTCCTCAGAGTGCCTACTACTTGCTTGCTTTTCTATAAGAAGCACAAGCAAAAACTGCTGTGATCCTTAGCTGTACTGTAGTTAAGGGCATTACTTTTAAATCTTTATCAAAATATCTCTCCATTTAAACATCTACATCTGATGGAGTATTTGATTGCTGCCACGGGAAAGGTGGTGAACTAGTTGTACTGACCAGTATCATAGTTCTAGTAGCAACCCTTGCAGGCAACCAGCCTTAGCAGTGGTTTTGCCATAGTGCTAAGCAGTGTGTAAATGGGAGAGTATTTATCAAAATCCTTTCTGACATTTGAGTAGCGACAGCAAGATGGGGGATCTGGAAGCATTGGAGATAGTATTGCTGGTCATGGCTAAATAACAAAATAAAAGCATAATAAGCCCTTTATTCTTGCCCTTTCAGTTCAGAGTTTTGGTTTTGTTCAAATCTTGTCTGATTGCTGTTTGAATCCTAATGGTGGCAGCAACCCGAATGGGGATGGGGAGCAAACTGCTAACAGTCCCATAAATGTCTGTGTTAATAAAACTGGGGAGGGGAAAGAAACTTGAAAGAAATACATTCACTCAGACTTTAGGATATGAATTTTCTGGGTTTTGTTTTCTAAACTTATAATAATTAAACTGTTTTGTCAAAAAAAAAGGGGATTCAGGAGTTCAGCATGAGCATTCATTGGATTATATTCATGTAGCAGTTGGCAGTTTTATCTGTTCATTTTCCCCAAAAGCATGTCAGTTATATGAGCAAGCTTAATGCCTCTGTTTTGCAGGATTGCTTTATATAAAGATCAAGAATAAAATGCAAAGGTAATTCTGAGTTACATAGCTAAGGATCATTTGCACTTCTATGCCATCTTTCAGCTAGAGAGAGCCCAAAGCACTTTCATTTAAAAAGAAAGAGAACGATATGTAGAACTATTTCACCAACACTGAAATGTGGTGGCTGTTTAGCAGCAGAAAAAAAAATAATACTAAGAATCCCTCTTATATAATTGTCATGAAAGTATGAATTTGGATAGTCAGAATGTTGTTATGCAAATAGTATGGCTGTGATGCTGTGACTAGTGGATGTATTCCTGCAAAAAGTACCACACAATCATAGGCTGGGTTTTCCTTCATGCTGCATCAACTATCTATCTCCCCAATGCATTACAAAAGAACTGCCTTAGCATAGAAACTTAATATTTCTCCATTTGGAAGAATACCGTTGTTACAGTAGGCGTGAATTTTGGCAGCTATTGCTGGTCATGACAATCCTTATGTTCCGGGGACAAAAATTCTTTCTGTCAGAATAAATAAGAAAAGTGGCTCATTCCAAGACTAAGTTTGTCCTCTCAAAGAGCTCTTCTAGTATATCCAGAGAGGTTTATTGGTAAGGATGTAAGAGCAAAAACCTTTCCATTAGAAAATCTACAGAAATAAAAAGTTTCTTGCTGAGTGAACACTTTGCAATGCCTACAATAAGCAGGTTCAATATGATTTAATCAGATGTTCTTTTCTTTAGTGAGGATTTTATCAGATTTGTACTGACCTCAATGCATACAAATTATTTATATTCAAACCTATGATTAGGTTTAAAGCATTAGCAAAAAAGTTTTCAATGCTGTGTTAAAGTGCAAAGATATGAGATGCTCAGCTGAAAAACAGAGGCATCTTTGCACTGGTGAACTGTTTTGATATTAATCTTAGGGGAGCCTAGAAGACAGCTCAGAATATTACCTGTAAACAAGCATCACATGCTGAAACAGTAATGTTTCCTTGAAATATTTTCTGGCAGTAATTATGTGTCTTTTAACTATATCTCCACTGAAAAGAGATACCCATGGCTTCTTGTGCTGTACAGGAATTAATAAGATCTGAATCTTGCAATAAAGAGCCCTTTGATTGACACAGCAATGTTGAGTGGTACCTTGTATAGGTATGATGGAGCAATGAACCGGTTATGAAAACCCCTGGAAACCTTCAGTATTTATCAAAAATCACCCTAGAAATAAAACAAAAGTGGAGATTATAACGAATAAGCATCACATTAGATGTGGATAATGAAAAGAAGCTTAAGTCAGCTGCTTGAGAATTTTTACTCCACTGCCAGGACATTGTTGCCAGCTTTGGCAACAGAAAGGAGATCCTCTTCTCATGTGGAGACTTGGACTCTTCATCTCTTAAACTGTTCTCAGAGTCAGAGAAGAAGGGACAGAAGGACAGGGCACTGTACCTGAAGGAAGGGGAGCTTGTTTGAGACAAACTAGTCAGCAAATGAAGAGCTGAGTCAAGCAAAGTATTTCTAAGGGAACAAAAGAGAAAGAAGCAGCAAAAAAAGAAAAAGATGCATCCACAGACACGACTGCTGAGTCAGTCTATTTGTTCTATGTCTACCACTAACAAGAAAAATGGAAGGAAAAATCAAGACTGAAAGACTGAACCATCAGTGCCAGTAGGTTAAATAAAAATAGAAATAAGAAGAAAGAATACAATCTTTATT